ACAATATTTTTCTTTTTATGTCAAACTTATTTCACACAGCATAATGCCTTTAAGGTTTATCCGTGTTGTGTAGTGTGTGTCAGAAATGAACATTTCTTTTTAAGGCTAAATAATATCCCACTGTATTTATATACTACATTTTGTTTATTCATCCATGGACATTTGGGTTGTTTTCACCTTTGGCAATAGTGAATGATGCTACTATGAACATTAGTGTACAAATATCTGTTAGAGTCCCTTCTTTCAGTTCTTTTGGGCATCTCCACAGAAGCACAATTGCTGTATCATATGGTGATTCTATGTGTAATTTTTTAGCCCACTATAATACGTTTTTGAATACTTATTTTTTTTTTCTTATGAAAGAAATATATTCAGGGGCACCTGGGTGGCTCAGTCATTAAGTGTCTGCCTTTGGCTCAGGTCATGATCCCAGGGTCCTGGGATCGAGCCCCGCATCGGGCTCCCTGCTCCGTGGGAAGCCTGCTTCTCCCTCTTCTACTCCCCCTGCTTGTGTTCCGTCTCTTGCTGTGTCTCCTCCATTTCACTCTGTCAAATAAATAAATAAAATCTTTAAAAAAAAAAAGAGAAAGAAATATATTCAGAGTGACTAAAAGAAATGTAGGAAACAATGAAATGTATAAAGAAGAAAATAAAAATCACCCACAATCCAATTTCTCATGGATGCCATTAACATTTAACATTTGGTATTTTTGATTGTCTTATTTAATGTACATAAACATATTTGCAAAATTAGGCCTGAAGACTATAATACAAATTTCTCTCTTGCTTTTTTAAACTCAGAATTGTACTATGAAAATTTTCCTAAGTCATAGAACAGCCTATGAAAATGCTTTTTAATAGCTGCTTGATATGTATGCATGTAGTGTGTATCTAACGTGGATGTCCAGTAATATGGAAGTGATGGGTTCATAGAGGGGAATATTTTCCAGTCACTCAAAATGATGTTTTCAAAGGCTATCTCCTGACATTAGACAATACTCACAAAATATAATGTTAGGTGAAAATAGGAGACAAAGCCATGTACATCTAATTCAGTTTGTACAGCGGTTCTCAGACAGATGGGAGCTTAGCCTAAGAGCAGGGTGAACTGTTAGATTTTAGTAGAAGAGTGACATACCAGATGTGCATTTTGAAAGATCACTCTTGGTGGTAGCTAAAAGTGGCAAAAGCAGATATGGGGATACTGTTTGGTTGGGAGTCCGGTCTGGGGTGAGGGAGGCGTGGAGTAGGATAGTAGCTGTAGATGTGATGAGAAGTAGTAGCATTCCAGATCCGGCTTCGAGGTCAACAGTCCATATTCATGTGGTGTGCCGGGAAATGGAGCTGCCAGGGGTGGTTCCTGAATGTTTGGTTTCTGTGACAGGGTGAGGAACCCTGATGGAGGGATAAAATTCAGGGGTATGGGAGATGAAAAACTCAGTTTGGAACGTGTACATTTGACATAGTGGAAAGATATTCCAGTGGAGGTGTCAAAGAGGCTATTGAATTGAAATCCCCATGTTATAAATGCGGATATGCCCCAAAGGGCTAAAAGTCCTCCAACATGCTAACACTGGCCTTCTCTAAGTTATGAGCCATTTTTATTGTCTTTATTATAGTATTTTATATTTTGTAAATTTTCTGTAATGATCATGTATTATTTTTATAATCAAATTTAAGTGTTGCTAGAATACATTCATCATGGCATTATTTATAGTAGTATAAAAATTGGAAACAACTTATATGTATAACAATTACAGAAGATTGGTAAAAAAATAAGCAGAATGATCTTGAAAACCCTGTAGCCACCTTTTAAAAAAAATGGTTTTCAGCGTTATTCAAAAAGGAAAAGTCTGTTTAAAAATAAATGAAAAATTTAAAAGTGAAGTCTACCATACTGACTTGAAACTAGGAGAATCTAGAATCTATTGTAAACTGTAATATAAATCTATAGACTTGCATTATTAATAATTAATAATTATTTTATCCTCAGATCATACGTGAAAGAATGGTAGGTAGCCTGTTTGTCACCAGGTATTTAGTTTGACGTGCCAGCTTTTAGTGTGGACATTTGAAAATATATTAAATCTTTGTAGTTTGCCAGATTCCTTTTCATTAAGGACCTTACAATTACTAGTCATGAATTTATCATACATTAAATTGTTTTTTTGAGATGATTGTTTTCCTAAGGGGAACATTCACTGCTCTAGTGTTTATTTTGTTTGCAGATAAAAGTGCTTAATTACATTTCCTACCTGCATTATTTGAAAGGATTAGAGTTGCCATGAATCTCGTCAGTAATGTTGAAATTATTTTAACTTGAAAAGATGCTTCAAATCTTGTGCAAAATGAAGCCCATTTGCTTACCACTCCATCCCAGCATTCTAAATGAATTAATTTTATAAAGAAAAAAGAAGACTACTTCTTCCTAAAGGTCACTGAGAATTTGTTTTCCTTTTTTCACTTTTAAATTAACAGATTAGAATACAATTTATAGTACTTTAGTGTACAAGTAGAATCACTCTGTCTCCACATTAAAAAAAAAACTTAAAAGGCAACACTGCTACTTTGGATTGACAGAAATTTACTTTGTAGTCTTCAGCTCAGGTTAATCGTATGTTAATAATACAGCATAAACCAAAGGCCTTTTTTTTTTTTTTTTTTTATTTATTTGTTTGACAGAGAGACAGCGAGAGAGGGAACACAAGCAGGGGGAGTGGGAGAGGGAGAAACAGGCTCACCGCTGAGCAGGGAGCCGGACTCGGGGCTCGATCCCTGGACTCCGGGATCATGACCTGAGCCGAAGGCAGACGCCTAATGACTGAGCCACCCAGGCACCCCCCCAAAGGCCTTTTTTTCTAATAAAACTCAAAATAAATATAATACAAATGAGATTGTGGCTTCAGGCAAAGTAAAATCAAGCATGGTTATAATTTCTAGAAATTAACAGTATGATTATCTTCTATAAGCATATCCCTGCACCATTAATAAAGCATTTCCTTGTGCTTTAAATTGCATATGAGTTGAATTTACCAAAGTAAAATTTAACAGAGAAATATTCATTCCTTTAGTTGGCGCCCAAACACACTCACACATTTAGAAGATGGGCAAGACATGATTTAACAGCAATACTTTCACAAGCAACTGGGGGGATTTTAATTGATTATTGGCTTGAATTGGGAAAATTTTTACTTAGAATACAGAAGAACCTTCTAATGACTAAACCCATTAAAAATAGAATTGACTACCTTCGGGGAAGGTATTGAGTTCCTATCCCTGGAGATTTTTAAGAAGGACCAGACTTCTGCCTGCTAGGGATTTTGTAAAGTTGGACCATAAACTTCTAAGGGTGTTTCCAACTCTGAATATGCCAGTTAGATTATTTCTTCTACAAAGTGATGTATGAAGTATTTCTGTTATACGCAATGGTTTACTTAAGTGGTATTATCTTTCTTGCCACTTTTTGAGGTAAACTAGACATACAGAAAAGTGAACATATCACAAATGTACATAGCTTGATGAATTTTCACAACCTGAACCAGTCCCTAGAGGGAGGAACAACCTGAACCAGTCCCTGGAGGGAGGAACAACATTACTAGCACCCCTGAAGCTCCACCCTGGTGCCCACTCCCATCATTACTTCCCCCCATTACTTCCCCCACTCCCAAGTGGTCACTACTCACTCTGTAGAAGCTTGGTGCTGAGTTGCTGGGCTTTGTACTTTATATACCTGGGATCATTTTCTTTTGCATCTGGCTTCTTCCAATGTGATTTTTTTGAAGATTCAGTCGTGTCCTTGCAGGCCGAGCATTCATTTCCTTGCCATGTAGTGTTCCATTATGAGACTATATCAAAATTTACTTATCGTTAATGGCGTTCGGGTAGTTTCCAGCTTGGGACTTGTACAAATAGTGTTGTTAAGAACGTTCTAGTACATGTCTTTCCGTGGACATCATGCACATTTCTGCTGGGGATATGTAGCTAGGGGGTAGAATTGCTTTGCCACAGAATGTACACACGCTCAACTTTAGTATGGCCAAACAGGTGGCCAAAATGTTTGTCTTCAGGCCCAATTTTGATAGGGTCCTACCATATGAGAAATGTTAGTTTTTCTGAAATTCCATAAGCTTTGTAAAAAAAAAAAAATCTTACTTGAGGTACTCGATAACTTTCTATTTTGTACTATATTTTCGCATACCTTATCTCCCTTTCCAGGTTATAAACTCCTTGAAGGCATTGTTTTATTTGTCTTTACATTTCCCAAAGTACTTTGCATAGAGTAGACTCTAAATTTATTATTTTTATGTGAATGGATGAGGAAATGAGGAAAATTATATGTAGTATTAATTTCAAGTATGTTTATAAATTGCAAAAATAAAAATAGCATACCAGATAAACTACAGGGGTGATCTTGAACAGAATACATTTATTAATAGTAGCTCATAGATTTTCCTGGATTCTATAAAATTTTACATGTGATTATATGGGAGAATATGAAGTTGAACTGTGTATTTTTAACTATTATACTTAAATCCTGGTGTTAGCTCCCACATAGAAGCCTGTAAATATTGTGAAACGCAGAGCTAAATTTGTTAGCCATGAGCTTGAACGTGAATGAGAGGGTGTGGTGAGGGAGTATGAGAGGGAAGTCATGCAGTAGCAGTCGTGATGGCTCTGGAACTCCAGTTTGGGTCACAGCTTTGTCCCTTCCCCTCGGTTCTTCTGCGACTGGCGAAAAGTAATGATTTCCCTCTATCATGGGGAAGGCCAGTAAGAGTTTTATGAGCCAAATGGAATTTTAGTGGCTTTTCAATTTAGCATTACCACTGTTTTAACCTGCTAAGTTAGGATATTAGGGATTTATGGGTGGTTTTCCCCTTAATGCTTTTTTCCACATTCCAAATTTCATTCAGTAAATACATACTACTTTTAAAATCAGAAAATATTTTTAAAATAATTTATGTTGCAAAAATTGCTACCTTGCTTATTTTTTATTTCAGTCTTGGCCTGCCTATGAGGATATCTATAAAAAAATGATTGAAATTGCTAAATTCTTAGATTTGCCACGTTTTCCAGACATAACTGAAGACTGCTATCTTCATCCAAACATCTTGTGTATGAAATACTTGATGGAAGTCAATCTCCCTGGTAAGTGTGGTGTATGTGGTGAGGGAACTTTTATAGAATTGTAAAATCACAATGAGCAAAATATAGAATTCCTCTTAGATCACAGACAATTAGAGCCACCTGACAGGGTCCATCGTAACATGAAGCTTAATTTCAGAATCCTTAAAATATTTCAGGCTACTTAGAAAGGTTAAAAGGACACTGTTCAGAAATAAAGAATTCTGTTTTGATGTGAGGGATATGCTTGGTTTTTACAGTAAGTTTGCTGAGTGCAATTAAAGTAAAAAATGTTTCAATATGTGTTATTAACGAGCTGGATGCCCCCCCTTCTGAAAAAAAGGCAGCGCTTGGTCATTTGTAGGATCACAGTGAACTCTTTAAGGCAATGAAACACAGAATGTGAAGAGAGCCTCACTAGACCTTGTTCACAATATACCAAGATGCAGGTAACCCGATAGAATCTGCCAATGGAACCCATTCCTGAATTTCTTGCAAAACTAGAAATGTGAGAAATTCAGGACTCATATTCTTAAGAGAAAATACAAACATGGTGTGGTTAGCCTATTGCTTTAGCAATATAAAGAATGTGATTGGAGGGGCACCTGTGTGGTTCAGTCGTTAAGCATCTGCTTTCGGCTCAGGTCATGATCCCAGGGTCCTGGGATCGAGCCCCGCATCGGGCTCCCTGCTCGGCAGGAAGCCTGCTTCTCCCTCTCCCACTCCCCTTGCTTGTGTTCCCTCTCTTGCTGTCTCTCTCTCTGTCAAATAAATAAATAAAATCTTTAAAAAAAAATGTGATTGGATATATTTTTAATAGGGAAGGAAAATGTGTATGTTAATGAAGAAAGCAATATACAAAACTGTGTATGTATAGTGTAATTCCAATGATAAAAATAAACATAAATATGTCATAACATATATATATACACATATATACATATACACACACACAAATCTACTAGTAGGTAATAGAAGGAACACAAGGGATTACCAAAATGTAACTGACACAGGCTGGCTCCTGCCAAGTGTCTGGTTCCTGTGCTTGCTATTGGATGGAGAGTGGGAATAGAGTCCACAGAACATAGTGACTGAATGCATGTAGGAAATGCAACTTAATTCAGTACAATTTATTATGCTCTTATAAATACTAGCTGTTCACTTAAGATTAATTAAAATAGAATATTGTGCATCTTGGGTACTTAGATTAGTGAGTAAAGAAATTTGCTTAGTAATTTAGAGTTTTCAAAGTATATTCACTTATCTTATTTAATCCCACAACCCACTTTACAAATGAAGAAACTGAGGTAAAGTGACTAACGCAGAGTCACAAAGCTAATGATTGGAAAGCCTGAATATATAGGCCCTAGCTGGGTTTCCTGGTTCCAAGTGCCACATTATTCAGCCTTGACTAATAGATGGAGGCCAAGCTGACCATATCATTTCTTTAGGAAAGCAGTACATCAAGTTTAATATACACGGAGGCTTCTAGCACGCTAGTCAGTGGGTCAATGTACATTCCCAGAGAAGCCCTTGGTCTGACAGGGGATTTCGTTTCAAGCCAGTGCAAATTGCTGTAGAAACACAGACAAGAGAGTGGTATGAGATGATAGAAAACTAGCGTGCGGCTGTGCGTTAGGTGCCAGAGTGTGCCCTGTGCATGGTAGATGTTTTAGGACGTCCAGATAGGGAAAGAGAGACCTTGCCAGGATTCTACCATTAGTGTTTCTCTACAGATAGCATTTTTTGGTTTATTTTATTCAGAAAATGTGTGCCCCTCAGTTCTAGCATAGTACCATGTTTTAAGATGATAAAGCTTATCTTACAGAGGCACGCATTAGTATGGTCTAGTTAGGCACAGAATTTAGTTCACATTTTACTGTTTTTGTTCTTCAACAGATGAAATGAATGATTTAACCTGCCAAGTGGTAAAAATGACTGGAATAGGAGAAGTGGATTTTCTGACATTTGATCCCATAGCTAAAATGGCAAAAACAGTTAAATATGATGTACAGGCTGTCGCTGTCATTGTAGTAGTATTGAAACTGCTCTTTTTATTGGATGACAATTTAGAATGGTAAGTGTATGTCAGTTTTATGAGGAAAAAAATCACAGTTTTGTTTTTACCTAATTATTCAGAGTAAAGGAATCCTTATATTATCTCAAGAGAAAATAGAATCTCTCAGTTGTAGAACACTGACTAGTAGCAACAATTACTTCTTACATGAATTTTGACTCAGCTAGTTGTCAGAGTTAATTCTACCTTAGTAAGTTGTTTGTCTCATGTTTTATTCCTATTTTTTAAGTACATACTCATGTTCTCATTGCTTCACTGATTCCCAACTTTAAATCATCATACACAAATCCTAAAGAATCTCGTAGCAGTTGCCTAAAGGCACCTTTCTGTATGCCTTTAGGCTCCTGGCACTGTGACTTCAAAGATTATTTTGGAAAGTAAATGAAACAAAGTGCCACTCCTCCCAAATGCCAGTAAACAATGGCAGCGCGTATAGTGATTGCTTCTCTGTTAAAAGTTAGCATCAGTGTCAAGTACTATTCTATACTTTTCTTTCAGAAGAATTCAAAATTTAACTGTCTTCAAATAAGTGACTTCCAAAAAATTGACTTGCTTTTTGGTTTTTCCAGGACTTTGTCTAATATTGCTGAGAAATATAATGAAAAGAACAAAGAAGGTACTTAATTTTTTATCATTCAAATTCAAAGTCATTGTAAGTGATGGATTAAAAGATGCAATAAATGTAAGGAAGACTTTGAAAAATATACAAGTACACATATACAAACACTTGTATACAAAGTATGCCTTATACCAGAATTATTTCTTCATATAATTATCTAATTCTACATCTAGGCTGCTAAACTTCAGTGATTTCCTATGATGTTAAAGACCAGCCTGCTTTTTTATTCCCAGCTTCTCCTCACTAGCCATGCTAGACCTTGAGCCTACTGGCAGTTCCATGACTATACCATCTGTTGTGATGCCTCAGCCTTTGCTCACACTGCTGCTTCTACCTGAAATGTTTTCCTTCTTACCCCCCGACTCCCTCAATCCCTGATAAATCCGCCTTTATCCTTCAAGATTCTACCTTCTCTTCACACCCACTCCCAACCTTAACACTTCCCAAATCAAAACTAATCACTCCTGCAACAGCTGCTCCTATCCAAACATCTGTTAGAGGTTTAGCACACTGAATTAGACCTGGTGGACTACGTATGTCTATCCTGATTAGATTGCCAGTGTCTGTAAAGTGCTAAGAATAGCTGACATAGAGTAAAGTACAACATAAATGATAGAAAGGTAGGTTGTGAGTTTCTAGAGGGAGGGACCATGTCTTTCTTCTTTATGTTTTTCTTTTTCATGGATCTTTAGTGCCTAACATAGTGTCTGGCCTAAGAGCAATTCAGTGAAGTTGGGTAGGTATATGATTTCTTAAATTCAATTTTAGTTTCTTAGTTCCCTCATTAGTATTTATGTTCATTGTTGTTTTTTTTTTTAATAATTCAGCTTTCTTGGGGCATAATTGACATATAGAATTGTAAGATATTTAAAGTGTGTATTTTGATGATTTGATATACATGTACACTGCAAAAGGATTCTCTCATCTGGTTATACATCTATCACCTCACATTTTAATCTTGTGTGTGTGTGTGTGAACATTTTAGTCCTATTCCCTTCGCAAATTTCCTTGATATAATACAGTGTGATCAACTGTAATCACCATGTTTTACATTAGATTCTCAGACCTTATTTATCTTAGAGCCAAAACTTTGTACCCTTTTACCAACCTCTCCCTATCTCCCACCCCCAGCCCCTGGGAACTACTTTTCTACTCTGTTAGAGTAGAAACTACTGTTTCTAGGAGTTTGACTCATTTTTCTTTCAAGATTTCGCATATATATGCATTGGTTTTAAGAGCTTGGATTTAATGGTAGAAATCAATTTGTGAGTTCTTTCCAGAATATATGCGAAATACTTCTTTCTACACATTGCTTTATGTCAGCTTCTACACAGAGTGAAAGGTTGAACAAGGTGTCTTCTAATGTCCCTTCTCATGCTCCCTTGTCTCAAAAAAAAAAAAAAAAAAGATGGTTTTAGTATAATCTAGTTAGGGCCACAATATAGATAGAAACTCAGTGACAGATTGCTCAGGAGTCATGTTGAAGTATGGAGACAGTGACTCCATAATTCCCATAATGTTGACTCCATAATGTTTAGTTGTATCAATGAATGAAGACTCAAATGAATAATGTATATGGTTATAATGTGACTTATTTGGTTACTAATCACGGATTTCATTTCTTTCAGATAAGCCCTGGTTTGATTTCAGAAAATGGTACCAAGTGATGAAGAGATCTGTTGATGAGAAAAAACAAAAGTGGGAGGAAGCCAGGGCAAAGTATGTTGTCTCTTCTGGTTTTAGGTTTACCTGCTTGATTTCTAAGTCTCTTACCTTATATTTGAAAGCTGAAGTTTCAGCAGTTAGACTCCTTAGCATTATGACATTTTTTCTAGAAATATTAGCCCCTGTGTTCTATTCGACATTTTTTTTTTTGGTGTTACTGTTAAATAACCTCCAGATTTTATTTGGATTTCATCAGTGTTTCCCGTAATGTCCTCTTTTTAGTTATTAACTTTTTATAATTTGTGTGAGTCACACCTACATTTCTAATATTCCTTCTCCTTCCCCTTTCTCAAAGTTATCATTTCCCATCTGCTTTCCAATATTACAAAGATTACAAGTGTCAGCCTATGACATATAAAGTGAATGTTCCCCCAAATAAAGATCCCTACAAAAATCAAAACGGAGGAAAGCACAAAGAGAGGATATTTAATTCAGTCTCACCATTTGACTTTGAACTCTGGTTCTGATGTCGGTTCATTGTAATAGAGTAGAAGGAGCAGAGCTGTAGAGACAGACAGACTGGGTTTGAATCCTGATTGCACTACGGACTAGTTGTGTAACCATGGACAAGTTACTTGATTTCTTAGCCTCGGCGCACTGAAATTTAGTTTGCTCATACATTTTCATAGACACTGTATCTTGCATAACATAGAGTATATTTCTATTGATCTCTGATTTGAACAGTTTTGTATCTATTCTTAGAACTTTGAGTCTTTACAAGACTTTGAAGAAAAAGTTAACGTCTCTGTATTTTATGTAAATTTATAATAATAATTGATCAACTGATTTTATATATTTTGAGAAAAATCAAGGCTCCTCAAATTAGTTAAAATAATTCATTCAGCTCTAAGTTCCTCATCAATGAAATAGGGATAATAATGCCTGCTTTGTGCTCTAAGAACTAAATTTCAGTTTTCACAGGTAGAACTGGATTATTTTTCTTCTACATTTAAGAGAGCTTTTAAATAGAAAACCAGACTTACAGGGATGAATAAAGCCCTGTGGGGAAGAGGATCCGTGCCAAAAAAGGGGAGAGGTGTAGTAATTTCTCACTATGCAGGTTTGATACACAATGATGAAAGAAAAGAGGTGGGGTGTGAACTTACTCTGACAGCCTGTGGGTACCCAGGAAACTGGGTCCTTCCTCTTCCTTGTCAGAGAAGGAATGTCTCTTTGGTCATTGGATCTCAGTGGTTACAAGAATATCAGGAAGAACAGGAGTTCGTTCTGTTGTCTTAGGTTATCTTGGGAGTACCAGCCACTGGGCCTTCCTTTTTATGGTGCCAGCAGGGGTTGTCCTGACTGATACTGAGAGGCTAGGTATTTAAGGACCATGCCACTCGGACATCTCAGTAGTATCTAAGAATTCATTAGCTCAAGCCAGGCACCAGCTTACACTGCAGACATAGCTATTAGAGCCCACATTGATATTTCAGCATTCAGTTACACATCTTAGACTTACTGACTTTTAGGTACTTTAGGGGAGAATTTAATGACCAAAGAGAGTATGTCTATTTCCAAAATGGCATCTTCCAGGGAGAGACCAGGACTCACGGAAGAGATTGTCCAGGGGATACATTACCAAGATACTTCTGTATGAAGTAGGTGCTTTGAGCTGAGTGAAATACCATATATAAATCACTGCTGACTAGTGCTTAGGTACAGAGCCCCTACCCGACCCCCACTGTTGACATAAATTTGTAATTTTTTCTCCCGTTATTCTGAACATCATCTTCCATGTTGTTAGATGAAAGTTATTAAAGCATTTTCCATAGCTAAGTATGGGTCCCTATGTATGAGATTATGAAAAATATTAATAAACAGTAGTTGAAAACCTAATAACAGCTTACGAGGTGGCTTTGATGACTTCCAGTTGTCATGGAAGATGCTGGGAGGAACATGGAAGAAAATTTAACAGCATGTGTAGAAAATCTTTTTAGCCTTTTGGGTTAGGCAAAATTTTGTAGATATACCAAAAGTATGATCTATAAAAGAAAAAAAATTGTAAATTGGACTTCATCAGAAGAAAGAATATCTGCTCTTCAAAAGACACTGTTAAGAGAATGAGAAGCCATACAGTGGGAGAAAATATGTGCACATCACATATCTGATAAAAGATTTGTATCCAAAATAAAGAATTCTCATACAGTGAGAACACAGACAAAAACCCAATTTTTTAAATGGACAAAAGATTTGAACAAATATTTCACTAAAGAAGATGTGTGAAATGATCTCAACATCATTAGTTAATAGGGAAATGCAAATTAAAACTACAATGAGATATCATTACACACCAGTTAGAATGGCCAAAAACAAAGCGAAATGAACAAAAAACTGACCACACCTAATGTGGGGATTTAAAAATGATGCAGCTATTTTGGAAGTTTGACAGTTTCTCATAAAGTTGAACATACATTTATTACACTACCTAGTAGTTTGCTCTCTTACATATTTACCCAAGTGAAATGACAACTTCACATAAAAATCTGTTCGAATGTTCATGGTGGCTTCATTCACAGTGGCCAAAAAGTGGCAACAACCCAAATACCCTTCAGCTGGTGAATGGATAAGTCAAGTGGGGTAAATCTATACAATGAAATACCATTCAGCAATGAAAGGAACAAACATCTGATACATCCAACAATATGAATGACTTAAATGCATTATGCTGAATGAAAGTCTCAAAAGGTTACATAGGGTATGATTCCCTTTATATGACATTCTGGGAAAGGCTAAATTATCAGGATGGAAACAGATATCAGTAGTTTTAAGACCAGTGGAGAGGGCTTGACTATGAAGAGGCATGAGAGACTTTCGGATTGATGGGCCTGCTCTATATATTCACCGTGGTGGTCATTGCATGACTATGTGTGTTTGCCAAAGCCAGCAGAACTGTACACTGAACAGGGTGAGTTTGTATGTAAATTATACCTTAACTTTTAATAGTTGGGAAACAAAATCATACGGAAAAACTGGAGAGAAGCATGCAGGATTCCTGCAGAAAACATTAGGACTTTATGACGTGCCTCCGTTTTTTGTATCTTTTGTAGTTTGGGGAAGAGGTAAGCAAAGTAGGTACATTTTTAAAGAAGGAGTATCTAGACAGAATGTTATTTTAGATCACTTTTCCCATTTTCTGGGCATATGACCCCAAGGAAGTAATGCCTCCTTGCCTGTAGCATAATTACCACCTGTATATGCCTTATAAATGCATAAGAAATTCTGTCTAGATTAGGTATTTGCAAGGGATTTTTAATAGTGGGTTTACCCACCAATTGGGATTAGACTATTTAGGAAACTTCTTTATTATTTTTTACCTTGAGTATATTGTTACATTTATTATTTAAGAAAACAAATGACAAAAAGGATATTTGAAAGAATCAAACTCCTTTACCATAGGGTTCAATGACAAGGTCTCTGATATATTTCAAATGTGGTATGTTCACTAAAATCTAGTTCACACATAATTTTCAGGAAAACTGTAATTTATTAACGTTGATTGCATCTCTACCTCAGAAGACCGGTACTTATTGTTCACTTTGTATGAGTTACCAGGAGTACCTCTGATTTAATCCTCAGCAAAAGGGCAGTTGGGCAAGGGCAAGGAGGAACAGTTGTTTCTTAGGTGGTCGTTTCACTTTCTGAGAACAGACAGCAAGAGAATTTTATGGTGAAGGAAACCGTTTCTACATTTTTGTGTAATTAATATCTTCTTCAGGACCTTATGACATCTGGGAGGCTTTTGGGATGAGCGTGTCATTCTGTTGGCTTGCTGTCTCCTTCAGTGCTACTTGCTTACATCTATGACGTAAGCCCTAGAGACCCGTATCAGTAGGTCATTCTAAGGCAGAGCTATTACACTGAGTATCAGGAATTTCAGATGTTGCTTCAGGGAAACTTCTCTGAAATGTGTTTAGGTCCATTTCGTCTCCATTCTGCTCCAAATGTTTTTCTGCATTGTACAGGTATCTGTGGAAAAGCGAAAAGCCACTCTACCACTCATCCATTGACAGAGCAGTGGTATATAAAAGAAGAGGTGAGTTGCGTTATCCCTTAACGCCATGTAGCAGTACTGTTGTAGAAAAGGTAAATATCTTGACTTCTTAAAGAGTGCCTAGGGGCACCTGACTGGCTCAGTCTGTAGAGCCTGTAACTCTTGATCTCGGGGTTGTGTTTCAAGCCCCATGTCAGGTGTAGAGATTACTTAAATAAATAAACTTAAAAAGTGTCTAAGGAATTATTTTACTTCTCAGCAAGTGTTCCAGTGCCCATCCAAAGAAATATCGTCCTCTGTAAGAAATCTCCAGAGGAATCTGTTTCAGGAACACTGTATTCTTTAAAACAGAACATAAGTTCTGTTTTAAATCTAAAATCATCCTATATTTCTATGACTTTCAGAACTCTTTCTGTGGAGAATTGCCTGTAAGTTGTCTTGTTCATTTTTTTTCCTAATTGTGGCAAAAATACGTTTTACCTTTTTTAAGTAGTTCCCCAATGCCCCTCATCCAGTTTCAGCTCCCCCTGTTATTACCCTCTTGCATTATTGTGGTGCACTTACCAACACTAAGAAACCAACATTAGTACATTGCTAACAAGTAAACTCATCTGTGATTTAATGTTAGTTTTTATTTTATTCCTTTCGTTTTTCCCTCTGTTTCCAGAAATGGTGGTGAGTCTACAAAAACAGTTTAGCACACTGATTGATTCAGCACCAACTGTTGAAAAGAAAAGTCCTTCAAGTTTTCAGTTCAACTGGACTGAAGGAGACTCTGCTAGAACCTGTTTCCATGGACATGGCCTCCAGGGGATCCTGAAGAAGAAAGGCCAGTCAATGACAACCAAGAATTCACTATATTGGCTTAGTACACAGAAATTCTGTAGAAGGTATGTGATGCTTTTAGAAATCAAAGGATAAAAAATATCATGAAATCTCTAGTTTGGCATGAAGTAGTATTCTTTTCGAATTTAAAAAAGTCACATAAAATTACGGTTGACTATAATAAGAACCAGATAGGTTATTTGTTGGTATTAGAAGAATGTTGGGCTTATAATCAAGAAAATTGGAATTATACATTGAGTCTTGTTTAAGAGTTTTAGGGATGGACACTAACCTTACTGTGACAATCATTTCACAACATATACATTGCACACTTTAAACTTATGTTATGTCAATAGTGCTCGGCAAAGCTGAAAAAGGTTTTGGACTATAAAGACTTTTTTCATTGTGCCTTTATATTTTTATACTAACTTCATTTTATACTAATCTCACTCTTTGTACATAGAAACCGTTTATAAGGCAGTTTCCCAGTAGTGAAGAGAAGGTGCTAATGAATTGGGCTGTTCATATCCCAGCTCTGCGGCTTGCTCCTTGTGGGCAAGTGATTTACCATCTCTACAGCTCTGTTGTCTGAGTTATAAAACCAGCGTACGAGTGAGTCGGGTGGGGAGCTTGTATCTTTATATTTTCCCCATGGCACAGACAGCATGTAATACTGATCTTCTTTCACTTCTTAAAACCTCTGGTGGCTCCCATCTCACGCAAAGTAAAGTTAAAAGACCCTAAGGAGCCTACAGGCCCCTGCAGTTCTCTGACCTTCCCTCCTTTGCTCCACGTTCACTGCCCCTATTCACACCGGCCTCCTATCTGTTCCTTGATCTTGCCAAGCACACTCCCCACACAGGCCTTTGCACATGCTGTGCCTCCAGCCTGGAAAGCTCTTCCTCCACGTATCCACACAGACTCACTCCTGTCAGGTTTTTGCTCACATTTCACTTCACCATCCTATCTAAAATAGCATCAACTCTCCCCTCACCCTCACGCGCACACCTCATCACTCTCTACCCCCCTTGGCTGTGTTTTCTTTCTCATAGCTCTTGTCAGTATTGAATAGATTGTTATATATTTATTTTGCTTATTTGTCTGCCTTCCCCGACTAGAATAGAATATAAGGTCCTTGTGTGCAGAGACTCTGTCTTAATTAATGAAAAATCCCAGAGGCTAGAACAGGGCCTAGCACATAGTAGGTGCTCACCAGTTATGTGTTGAATGAATGCATGAAAAATAGAGAATGAGAAGGTGCCTGGGTGTCTCAGTCATTAAGCGTCTGCCTTCGGCTCAGGTCATAATCCCAGGGTCCTGGGATCGAGCCCCGCATCGGGCTCCCTGCTCCACAGGAAGCCTGCTTCTCCCTCTCCCACTCCCCCTGCTTGTGTTCCCTCTCTCACTGTGTGTCTCTCTGTCAACTAAATAAATAAAATCTTAAAAAAAAAATTAGAGAATGAGAATTAAATGAGATTTTGGTATCTGTCATATAGTAAATCTCAATACATGATAACTCTGATCATTACGTTAAATAAAACTAATTTTCTATTAAAGAGTTTCTCTTCCTAAGTTGAGTATCAATGAAAGATAAGTAAAATGTAGGAAATACAATAGGAGATAACAAAATGAAGTTATCTGTATGAAAATTTACTACTCAGCAAAAGTTTAGCTGAGTCTAGAATGACTGTAGAGCGGCGCTGACTTGGCAGCAGCAACAGGGAAAGGCTGGAACCCAAACCCCAGCCTCAGCACCACGTCTGAGGTGCTCCATTCCTGTGCAGTGGTCAGTGCAATGGCTTTTTCCGACGTGAAGATTTCATCAAAAGGAAGAGAAAAGGCTGTAGTCTCGGCCGGTGAGGAGCACCCGCATGAGACCAGTTAAGTTAGGAAGTGGTGTTCTATGCCCTTCTGTCTCTCATGCCTGCGGAATCGGTCCCGAGTTAGTCAGGGGGCAGCTTACACTTTTATGCTTTTCCCATGGCGCAATCAGTGGATTTCTAGATCTTTCTAAATCTTCATAGATTTAATACAGTAATATAAGACAGTTAGTTATAAATAGACCTTGTATAGTCAGAGATGAAACAGCTGAGATTTTTTTTTCTCTGCATGAACTATAAGGCTAAAAATTATAACCTATAGACAAAGCATCAGTGATACCATGACTTTATGCACCAAAATTCTGTCAGCCTTGCCTATTTAGACCATAGCCTAGAACCACAGAGTAAGCAAAAAAGGCTTCCACCAACCAATAAAAATGTCGCAAAGTCCATGACTAGAGCTAATGCACTTTTCTCAGAAAGCCCCTTAGTCCCTCACTCAGAGCCAGCACACTCTGCCTTCAGGTGTGTTTCTGTCAGGCTGAGTTGTCTGATTTCCAAACTTCTCATCATCAAAAGAAACAAAGCAGGAGGGGGACTGAGAGGCGCTCTGCTGATAGTCACCTCGGCAGCAAACAGAAATGACATCTGTTTGACAAGCGAGAGAGGCGCCAGCATCAGAATCAGAAGCAGACAAAAGAACTCAAACTACAGCAGTCTGAAGCTCACTCCTGACACACTGTTTAATTGCTCCACCTAGCAAAACAAGCCTGATGGGGTCTCAGCTTTAACACACGGCATGACCCAAAATGCTGTGTGCATTCTCTTTGGCTTTGTTTTTCTTAGCTGTATTTTCTAATATTTTTACAGTAAAAATGAACAGCTTTTAATAATGTACTTTATATTTTTATAATAATTTCATTTTATACTAATTATACTATACTATAAATTTATAATTTATACTAATAATGTATAACTCAGTTTTAAAAGATGTCGATACAAAATGGTTAAAATGAAGTGTTTTGATGCTTAGGAGAGCAGATCTTCAGCTGTATAGAGAATTGTGTTACACAGAAGGACTCATGTCTGAGGGTTCAAGAGACAAATGTTGTATAGTAAAATACTTGTGAGAACACTCAGGCCTTGAGAACTAAGCAGAGAAAGGCCATAAGAGCACTTCAGATATGAGAGGTTGTTTATGCTTCTTATCTGAGGCAGAATGAACAATCTTCATGAATTTAAATGCCCTTAATATTCCTCACATTTATAGAAGCACCCATCTGTAAGTAGGCCAGTAACTGACAACTAGCTAGGTCTAGAGACCCGTTGTAGGCACTGGCTAGTCAAGGGTCTGTCCTTGGCCTCCCTGAGAGGGGCAGGTGATTCCTCTCTCCTTCCACAGGAAGAGGAACAGCCGAGGTACTTCAAATTGCCATCCACAGGAAATGGGAGGTTTTGGATGTCCCCCTGCCCCCCCATACACACACAATTTTTTTGAGGGGTCCCATAAAAATTTGATTTGAATTTTAAAAATTTTATTTTAACTAATATTTTAAACTAGAGTAAAAAAAAAAACAGTACTCAACTATGTATGTCATATGCCAAATTTGAACATCTTTCAGACCACTAAAACTTTAACTTGTGTTAGCAGGTTTGTTTAATTTCGTATGTATACAGACTTGAGAGACTATTGTTTTTTGCATACGTTCGAACTTGTCACAGGAAGTTCTCATAAGGAAGTTCAAATGTACCTTACACCCCTCTTCCAAATGTAAACCTGTACTGGTCCCTTCACATAAAGTTGTTCGTATAAACATATTCTTCCATTTGCCACGCTCATTTATTTTCCGTGTCAGAGCTCAAGGAACATCTGTTGGCACGTGTTCTACTCACAGCAAAATACTTGGCAATAACAAATTATTGTATGTTATATTCGGTTTTATGGCTTATAACTCTAGGAGAGTTTTCTGAGTTTGTGATAAAGAATGTAATCCTTGTAAGGTATTGTTAATGATTCAACTTAAAAATAAAAGTCCTTATGGGACCAAATAATTTGTATACCTTTTCTTATCTTTCTGGTGTAGAAAAAGAGCTTCCCTAGGTAAGAGAAACAATACTTCTTGCCCTTTTTGTTGAACCATTTGTCTGGAAGAATCTCTCTTACAATAGCTGAAATTGAAAAGAAAAGAAGAGCAAGAGACCACCAGTTTGTGAGAATTCCTGTAAATGGCTTATATTTGATTTCTGTTAAACCAATCAATGAGTAGTTGAGGCTTTTAAATGTCCTTATTAGTGAATATGGTGGGGTTTTGGCTTTATTGTAGATTATTAAAGTAGTCTTAAGATTTTAAGTGAAGACAAAAATCAGTTTTAAAGGAGTAAAGTGGAGGTGAACATTTTTGAGCCCTTACTCTGTGCCGACCATTGGGTAAGTGTTTAATATATATTTTCATTCGATACTTCTGTTCACTCTATGAGGTAGGCACTGTTATTTTTTCCTGTTTTACAGGTGAGAGAACCAGGGCTAGTTATCCATAGTCACAACTGATGGGGGCAGAGTTTTGTGGTGCACACACAAACTTTCTTCCAGGAACTTAGGACCATATATAAATCCAGTATCTAAAAGTTTGTATCTTCTATATGTTGTTTTCCTGTTTTTTTTAAGCTTTTTACTCTGGAACATTTCAGGTATATTCAAAAATAGAGAGAATGGTATAATGAACCCCCCTGTACCTGTCATTCAGCCTTAACAATTGTCAACATGACTAGACTTGCTTCCACATGCCAACCCACTCCTCCTCCTCCGCCCCCAGATTATTTGGAAGCACATATCAAATGTCATAATGTTTTTAAAAACAAAATCATAATAAACATCAATCAGACATTAAGAAACAAATAGTAATTCCTTAATATTATCAAACATGCAGTCAATGTTTAGATCTTTCCAATTGCTGTGAAATTTTTAATATAATTCAATCCAAATAAGGCCCATACATTGCAAGTAACTAAGATATCCCTTAAGTGTTTTGGTTGGTAAATTCCCCTTTTATGTCTTTTCTTGTCTCCTTGCAGGGAAAAAATTACTTGTTGAATAATCCAGGTCTTGTGTCCTATACAATTTCCCATAGTCTGCATTTTGCTGATTACAACCTATGATACCATTTAACATGTTCCTCTGTCCCCTGGATTGCCTACACCTTGGTGTAGTTAGAGATGGATAGAGTTAAGAGATTTGTAATTAGAGATTTGGTGGTAGTTGGAGACTTGATCTACTACTTTTAAGATAAGTAAAATTGCTTTGTAAACTCTTCTTTCTATAATAGGTACAAGATTGTAGTCTACATTATCAAGTCCGGTGTCTTATTTTGGGTGGGGATTAGGGATTATTTATTTTCTTTTATTTTAAAACTATGCCCAGGGGCGCCTGGGTGGCTCAGTTTTTGAACGTCTCCCTTCGGCTCAGGTCATGGTCCCAGGGTCCTGGGATCGAGCCCCAAATCAGACTCCCTGCTCGGCAGGAAGCCTGCTTCTCTCTTTCCCACTCCCCCTGCTTGTGTTCCCTCTCTCGCTGTGTCTCTCTCTGTCAAATAAATAAATAAAATCTTTAAAAATAAATAAATAAATAAAAATTAAAAAATAAAACTATGCCCAGAATCTCTTCCTGTATGCTATTGTTTGCTTTGAGCATGGTAAAAAGAAGCAGCCCATCTGGAATGGAAGGACTTCTGGGCAAGGAATTGTGAGTCCCGGCTCCAGTACCATCTGTTACCCTGGTGTGGTAGCTAACCTATGGATGGCGCTAACATTTTTTCCTCTGTAAAAATAAGTTGTTTTGCCAAATTGTTCCAAGTTTCCTTCCAACTCTGAATACTGTTTTAAGCCTAACCATATATATTTGCTAGTTTGGGGGATGTTTCAGGGATAGATGCATACATTTTAAATTGTCATTTTAAGGTAACTTCTTCCTTTTTCTTCCCTTTCTAGCTATTGTAAACATGTGACAACCTATGAAGAATCAAATTTTTCGCTGAGTTATCAGTTCATAATAAATCTCTTCTCCTTCCTGCTGAGAATAAAGACCTCTTCCCTCCATGAAGAAGTGAGCTTAATTGAAAAGAGACTTTTTAAAACAAAATATAGTAAAACGAAAAAGAAGTCAAGATCCAGGAAAGGGAGGAAATACTGAGAAAAATGAAATAGAAACTTTCTTGGGAAAATATTTTAATTGTGATAAAAATGTCAAATTATAATATTCCAGAGAATTATGGGAAATAGAATTTTATTATATATCCACACATACATAGATACATATATATGTATCAAATGTGCTTATAAAAATGTGTATTGGAAAATAAGTGAATTGTGTTTGAATTTATTTTTTAAATTATGAATATTCTTTGAGAACATTAAACAATAAGTTTTATAAATGGTATCCAGAAATTTGTATTCATTGTATTTTAAAGCTAAATTTGTTTTTTTTTTTTTAGGCTAAATTTGCTTTTAAACTAGATCACTTCCTTATTCTTTATGCCCCAAAGGAAATCCCAGATGGAACAAAGATCTAAACACCATAATCTTTTACATATACATATATTACAGTACTAGAAGAAAACAAGTATGGCTGCTTTGATGATCTTGGAAGAGGGAAGGACTTTCCAAACATTCCCCAAAACCAGAAACCAAAAGGGAAAAATTGGTAATGTGACTACAACGTCAGAGGCAAATAGCAAGTAGGAAAATATATTTGTAGCATATGACAGACAAAGGAATAATTTCTTTAATGTATCAATAGCTCTTGCAAAGCAATAGGAAAAAGACAGGCTGAGCAAGGAATATGAAAAGATAACTTTCTGGAAAAAAGAAATGCAAAGGCCAACCCAAAAAAATGATACAAATTAAAATAGGTTACCAAAGATATATAAAGGTTTATAATATCTGGTGAGGATACTGGAAAATCAGGCATTCTTGTTCAGTTTATTCATGCAACAAACACTGAACAACTGTGTTCCAGGCATATTCTAGGCACTGGAGATAGAGCAGTAAACAAGGTCCCTACCTTTACGGATCTTCCTTTCTAATAGGGTGGGGGCAGATAGTAAACAGATATACAATAGTTGGGCTGATGAGGTGCAATGAAGAAAAAGCAAGGTAAGGGTGACAAGGTGGGCCTTTTTATAAAAAGTGATTGAGGAAGGCCCCTGGGAGGTGACCTTGAGCAAAGATCAAATGGTATGGAGCAAGCCGTGTTGCTCTCCAGGGGAAGGTTATTCCAAGCAGAGGAAACAGGCAAAGGCTCTGAGGCAAGACTCTGCTTGATGGAGTCAAGGAATAGCAAGTTGTTCAGGGCACCTGGAGTGTTAGGGTTGTAGGGGAGAGTAGTAACACAGGAAATGGAAGAATTTGCATTTGGGGCCATGGTAAGAACTTTGGCTTTTGTCCCAAGGAAGCCATTAGAAAATTTTGAGCAAAAGAATGGTGTGATCTGGGCCACCTGGGTGGCTCAGTCGGTTAAGCATCTGTCTTCAGCTCAGGTCATTATCCCGGGTCCTGGGATCGAGTCCCACATCGGGCTCCCTGCTCGGCGGGGAGTCTGCTTCTCCCACTCCCTCTGCTGTGCTCTCTCTCTGACAAATAAATAAATAAAATCTTAAAAAAAAATGGTGCGACCAGACCTATGTCATAAGAGGACTACATTGCTCTGTGGTGAATAGATTGCCAGGGGAAATGGGCAGAGGTAGAGGCCACAACAGAGACTACTCTTCTTGTTTGGTCAAGAAGTGGTGGTTTGCAACTACCGAGATTATAGTGGAAGTGGTAGGAAGGGATTAGATCCCAGATACAGTTTATGTATGAAATAGTAAGGATTTGGTGATGGGTTCATTGGAGGTGTGAGAAATCAAAATGCCCCAATTTTTTTCCCCTGTACCATTTATTAAGGTGGGGCTGCTTTAATTTCCCCCTGTTCACCCTGTTTGTGAGGGAAGTTAACTGGGTTTGTTATAGGGCTGTGGGAACAGCCAAACACAGGGTACCCAAGATTGAACAGATGAGACTGACAGCAGCTAATTAATCACATATACTTACCACCTGGGAGAGGATGCAGCACTCCAGGCAGGGCCAGTAGGGTCACACTCGGGAACAGAGGACAACCAGGGACCGGGAGGCAGGCTTTGTATCAGAGGGATGGAGTGGCCCCTGGTTCCTGCACGAGGGTATGATTGGCTTATTTGAATAATCCCATGGACAGACAGGAACTCCTCTGGTCCTCTTAATAAGGTTAGGGGACCCTATCCGTGGGAGCAGAGTGGGGAGGGGAAGTCAAAGTTAGGCCACTTTGGGGCCCTCCCAGTTTCACCAGATGTCAAAGCAGCACAAGATATCAGGCCTTAATTTTAGGCCGTACACCACACGGGAACTCAGAAGAGTGGTATTGGGAAATCAGTGTTATTTGGGGCATATTGAGTTTGAGATGCCTGTTAGACATTGGAGAGACGTTGAAGTCTGATGTTGGAGGGGCAGGGGTCTGGGGTAAAGTAAATGTAGGAAACATCAGAATATAAGTACTATTTAAAAACTGTGAGGCCAGATGGGATCTCCTGGAGAGTTTGTACAGATAGAAGAGAGGTCTCCATGGTTGCACTTTGTGCTTCAGCACGTTCCCTTCTACTCCTGGATTGCAGAGAGATTTTTTCAATCAGGAATTAATTTTGGTTTGTTTTTGTTTTTGTTCTTTTGTTTTTTCAGATGTTTTTCTTGCATCTATGAGATGATGGAATGTTTTTTTCTTTTTTAGCCAGTTAATATGGCTTTCATAATATGGTTAATAGGAAATTCAATTGAGTTTCAAATGTTAAACCGGCCTTGCATTCCTAGGATAAACCCCACTTGGTCATGATCTAGTATCCTTTTCACATATTGTTGAATGTGATTTGCTGAAATATTAAGAATTTTTGCATCCGTGTTCATAAGAAATGTTCTGTAGCTTTCTTTTACTCTATTACCAGAAGGAAGATTTGTGGACACTTCAGTAAATATAATCCAATTAATATCATGTTGGCCTCTTGTTCTTCAGCTTGCTACCTCATGGTCACAGAATGGATGCTACGATTCCACACAAACAAATCCTGGTAGAAAGAAGGAACTATGACTAAACACTTTCTCAAGAGTGTCTTTGGTGAGAAAACCCTTTCTAGAAGCCCCCTGGTAGAGTTTCCTTTACATTCCATCGGCCAGAACTGCACCAGGGGAACCATAAAGGGGAATAGGATTACCATGACTGCTTTAGATGATTATCATGATGCATTCCTACCTTCCCTAGGATTAAGGATCTTTCTCTAATATTTGAGCAAAACTGGGGTACTATTAGCAGGGAAAGGCGGGGGTACTGTCTGTTGATAGGCAATGAGCAATGTCTGCACATGCGGTCTTTCCTCTCTAGTTCAAAGTCTCAACATCTCATATGTGCAAAATATGATGCTATGGTATTATGGGTAAAACATTTCCTAACATCTATTGATCATCTGCCACCAGGGCATTCTGTTAGAAACTTTCTAACTATTAGCATCCGGATTTGTTCTAGTCTTATGGAATGACCTAATAAATGCTTGCATAATGTCTACTATGTGCCAGACATTTTTCTCAGTGCTTCATATATTTTTTTCGTATGTATTAACAATGGAGTTAAATTAATAAATGAGTTATTAATTTATCCTCACAATAACCGCATGATGTAGGTACTATTATTCCATTTTACAGATGGGGAACCTGAGACACAGGGGGGTTGAATAACTTGCCCAAAGTCACACAGCTAGTCTGGAATAAACTGCTGCACCACACTATCTCTCCCAAGACTTAATCAGCCTTTGCTCCCAAGGAGCTTACAATATTAGAAGAGTCAAAAAAAATTTTTTTTAAGATTTTTATTTTTAAGTAATCTCTACACCCAATGTGGGACTCAAACTCACAACCCCAAGATCAAGAGTCACATGCTCCACCGACTGAGCCAGCCAAGCGCCCCAGCAGAGTCAAAATTTATTTCACCACATTCAATATATGAAATTAATGCCACTTGATTTTATTATCTGTAAATTTTCCCTAGCCTCCACCCTGTTGGGTAGGGGTGGAGGACAGCCAAGAGGGCAGTCAGGATACTGCTTTGAACCTTTAATCTTACCAATTAAGGATATCTTCATCTCTTCAGGGTTAAAAAGCCACTTTGGAATAAATATTTAGCAAAGTGAAATTTGAAATCCCTATTAAGGCTGTTCCTCCCATCCATCTCCTTCCCTAGATGGCCTCTGGGTTCAAGGGTGAGGTGGGGGAAGAGCCCCCACCCTATCTGTGTCCTCTAGGTCCTTGCCAGGCTCTGACGCAGATGGTTGTGGGTGCTGATCGCCCCACTCAGCTCCCACTGGCTCAGGTTGTCCCCAAGGAATGCTGGTGCTCAGCTCCACCGGCGCCCCCCATGCTCTGCGACAATGAAGGTGCTTCTGGATCACCTCCACTCTCAGGGATGCCTTAGTATAGGGGGCCATTTCTCCTTTGCTGCAGTACCCTGTATCAGCACAGGGCACCCTGTAGGTGGGCTCCTCAAGTCCTGTCTCTGCCTGAATACTTGCCTCAGCTCTTTCTAAACTAGAAAGGTGCGCAGTGATGGACTAAGGCAGAAGTAGGCTGAGTGCCATGATGGATGGAGCGCCCCAGGAGCACAGAGGAGGAAGAGGGCGCAGCTGGCGGGGGGCGGCATGGCGGAGCTCGGCTCCCATGGAGCTGTGCCCCCCGCCCGGAGCAGGAAGCAGATTCTTAATCTCCTTTCAGGGGAAGCAATAAATGATTTTGCCGCTCGAGTGACTTGTGATATTTGTTGATTTGGGTGGAATCTCTTTTATGAGCAAAACTTACCTTATGGTTTTTTTTTTTTAATTAAAATTCCTTACCCCTGCAGTGAAATATAATTTTACAAATTATGTGACCACCCTAAAGGGAAATAAAACCAAGTAATATTTCACATGGTCTCAGCTCCCGTAACTAGTGTAATCGTGTGAAAGCAGATACTTCCGGGGGCGGGGGGTGGGGGGAAGGTGGGGAGTGTGAGTAGAATGCAATAGATACTTCTAGAAAAAGAGTCTTTAAATTGTTGTCTGTCAGTGATCAGTCTAAGCTCAAAGCCATGCCAGTACAGCATATACGTGCTAAAGTGGAGAGAACATCATGTTCTCAGTTGTCTGAGTATCAAACTTGGATCATCAGAACCTCATGGAAAACACAGCGGTGAAGTACCCTTATTCCACACCTACCTACCTGCCTACTGAACCTTTTGCGTGTTTTCTCATTTACTATATCTAGATAAACCTGTCCATCTACATCTGTGGCAATTAAAAGTTTGATCATAGTAGATTAACATAAAAAAAAACTTCTAAATTTT